CATATTTGCAGCAGTGATGAAGATTTTCAACAGCAATCACAAATTTTATCACAGAGATTGAGAAAACGATCATATCGAGAAGAGTGGATTCAGTCGGCAGCGAGTCGTTTTAAAGATGTCACAACAAGAGTCTCGTTAAAAAACATAAAAAATTTGACCATCGTGTTAACTGTTACATCCAATATTCACCTGTGTCGAAGGACATTGATAATGTTTTATTGAAGCATTGACATATGGTAGAGAGTGATCCCAACCTTAAGAAATGTTTTGACAAACCCCCTCATTTAGTGCACAAGAAAACACTTAATCTTCTAAATCTTTTGGTTAGAGCTGATTTGAAACCTGCTCATTTTTTGAACAAAATACCATATGGGAATTACAGATGCGGTAGCTGCCAACAGTGTAATTTCACATATAAGACGTCGACCTTTACACATCCGCACACGGCAAAAATGTAAAAAATTCGAGCCACTATTTCATGTAAGACGGCTAATGTCATTTACCTGTTGCGTTCCCATGTGATTTATGTTATATTGGTAAGACTAGCAGATCTCTAAAAACTTGCATCTCTGAACATCGATGTGCAATTAGACATCGCAATCCAAAAAGTCCGGTAGCACAGCACTTTGCAGATTCAAGACACTCAGTTTCCAATCTTCAGTACATAGGTATTGAAGTAGTGAAGTGTCCGCGTCGTGGAGGTGACATCAACAAATTGCTTTTACAACACGAAGCCTTTTGGATTTATACACTAGACACGTTGTCCCCCAGAGGATTAAATGAGGACTTTGATATTCGTCCATTTCTTTAAACATAAGATATCTATAATAAACGCTTTGTAGTTATTGATTTGTATTTATGTACCCAGGCAGGCATCAATTAATGTTATTAAACAATATTTTGAGAATTATATTAGTGTATTTTGAATAGCTTTATATGTTTTTGATTTATTTTTATTTTCTTATTTTTGTTTCTATGTTTTTCTCCGTGGTTGATATGTTATTGTTTTGGTATTATTATTATCACGATAATATTGTACGGTCATGTGACCTTTGATCACCTGGAGGTAGGCCTATAAAGATTGGGATATCAGTGTTGTTCATTTGTCTGATGAAGAGCTATGCGACAGTCTTTTTAAAAAATAAAATTTGATACTTTTGGAGCTTTGGTGTTGCCGACTTTACATTTAAAAATTTTCTTCATCAGTGAGCCATTTAAATAATTTTTCAAGTGATGTTTTTCAAAAACTGATTCATTCAGGAGTGAAACGAGTAATGCTCTTCATCTATGATTCATTAATTTAACAGATTCATTCATGAACACTGATTCAGGAATGAAACGAGTGACTTGATATGTCTCAATTCACCTACTTATTTTGTGCCCTAAAAAGTATGTAGTCTTTTTGTGAAGAAAAAGTAAATACTTTTAAACATGTAGTAGAGTTGACTAAATTTGAGACATATTATGTCATAAAATTGTACTCCGTTGTGGGGCTGGGCTGTATATCGAGTTTGTGCGATATATCGATGTTTTCTTTATAAGCGATTCGATATGAGGCAATACCGTTTATATCGATATACAGTAGTTTGATACGAGCGCATCTGAAAATATAGAGGAGGACACCGACTGAGCTGCTGCGTGAAAGTACATAATCCAATTTGTTCTAAACATGTGACAAGCTTCATATTAAGGCCTTTAAAAACTGGTAAGACATAGTATAGTTTATAGTTTTGTTTCGCATATTAGTTTAAGCGGCTCGCCCCGTCATATGCTCTGACTGAAAGGCTGTGTGTGCCGCTGACAGAAACACTAGAGGCTACTCGTGCTGTTTAATGTGTTTGAGATGTGCTGTCTTCCTGAATGCATAACTTATATTTCACAGGTATATTTTCCATCTGTAAATGTTAGAAAGTCATGGAAATATTTCCATTTTGCTGTCAGGTGTACATGAGCCTTTTACTTTGCGATTCTCCGCTAAACTTCACACAGACTTCAGTGAACGAGCGCTGCCACGTGCATGCGCGCCAAACAGACAGAGCTCAGTTAAATAGGAGCACAATAATTCTGACTAAAATATACATTTTGCTGAAATATTTGTAGTTGGACAATAAATGTGACGTGTAGAATTTTAAACCTACAAGTAAGTCTATTTTTATGATAGCACTGACTGTAAAGTGACTGTAATGGGGTAATCAAAATAGCCTAACACAACTCTGTGCTTTTGTTCTCATTTATTTTCATTTTTAGTTTAGTGAATTTAACTTCCGCTTTAAAAGCCTTATTTTTGTTTTTAGATTGCAATGTTAGAATGAAATGTGATTTTAACCCTTTTTGCACATGATATAAAGGCTTACATGGTTACATTCACTTTTTGTTTTCATAGCCTTTAATATGTATTGTTTTGTTGAACAACATTAGGCGGTCATTGAATTTATTTAATACAGGAGTTTCACAATTTGAGTTGAATTACTGAAATAAATGAACTTTTCCACGACATTCTAATTTATTGAGATGCACCTGTATATACAGATTTTTTTAAATAAAAAAACGAAAATACAGCGATATATACCGTATATCGCAAATTGGCCAAAAAATACCGAGATATTAATTTTTGCCCATATCGCCCAGCCCTACTCTGTTGCATAGTTACGTTCATTCTGTCAGTGTAAACTGGCCTTTCGTTCCTCTGGTCACTGTGAACATCCTTATATACACACTCCATATTGTATTTAATTAAATTTACACTAAACAAAGAATTCCTCCTACCATATTGGGGAGAAAACAACTAGCACACATTGATCTGCCAGTATTGGTTCCTTTATGCAGAGAACTCTGCTCATGTTTTTGCAAAATTATGCATGTAATAGATATGTTTTGCTATGGTGCCGTTTGAATCGTTGTAAAAGTTCACAATGTTGTTGCAAATGAAATGTTGACACAAATAACATTAAATAAATACTATTCATCATGATTATTAATAACTCAAACCCCTTTGAGTTATTAAAAAACTGTGTCTCTCCTCAACCTTTGGTCTCACAAACATCAGCCTTGTTTGTAGTTTTTTAGGGACCAAGAACCGAAGGTGCAGTGGCACCTATTGTATCCGTTAGCGTAATTTTTTCTTCCGCCGAAAGTCTATGGCAGCCCATAGAACCACTTGCGGGAAAGTTGTGAAATTTGACACACTGATAGAAGACAGTCTCAACATTAACCACAGCAAGTTTGGAATCTCTAACTCCAACTCTCTAGCGCCACCACTTGTCCAAAGTTGCAATTTCTTTATGCTAATAACTTTTGAACCATAAGGCACAAAATGAAAATTTTCCTCTGAATCCTTGGCTCACGCCGCGTCGAATGAACACCAAAATTCAAAAATCGCAAGGTTTAGTTTTTTCGCTATTTTTAATTGTTCGTAAAACCTACTTTTTCGAACTCGTCCTAGATGGTTTGTCAGATACCAATTTTTTCGTGTCAGCCATTTTGGGCATCGGCCATTTTGAATTTTGTTAAAAAATGCAATATTTTAAGAACGCTTAGACTTGGTTATTACGAAAATCGGTATGCATCTTCGGCACCATGCCCTGATGGCACTCAAAAAGTTTGGGCGCAGCGCCACCTTTTGGTCAAAAGTTATAAAGCAATTTATAAAAATGCTAATAACTTTTGCATACATGATAATATTGTAATGAGATTGATGTTTATAGATTCCTTGCATCATGCGGAGAACATCAATACCAATTTTGCAATAATTGGCTAAACTTCCTGTCCGCCATTTTGATTCATGTTAAAAACCTATTTTTTTCGAACTCCTACTAGACCGTTTGTCCAATTTTCACCAAATTTGACTCTGATCATCTTCAGACCAAACTGGCAAAAAGTTATGGCTTTCGTGTCGATATACGAAACGGTTTTCGTTTAGAGCATCAACGAATTTGCTGGTTAAGATGCCAAAATGCATCTGAGGCTGTATCTTTGCAAAGCTTTGACGTATTTGCACCAAACTTTGTTTGTGCCATTGTCACCTCACACTGACCATGCCACATCAATTTGGTAACAGCGCCACCTGTTGGTCAAGAGTAATAAACCATTGATTTATTATTAATTATGTATTATATAATCATTGAATCATTCGTTTAACCAATTTGTTAAAGGGGTGCTATTATGCTTTTTCACTTTTTGAACTTTAGTTAGTCTGTAATGTTGCTGTTTGAGCATTAAAAAGATCTGCAAAGTTACAAAGCTCAAAGTCCAATTCAAAACGAGATATTTTATTTAACAGAAATCACTTTTCAAAAACCACAACGAACGACTCATTTGGACTACAACACATATTTTCTGGGATTTGTGATATCACAAATATCGACGAATGGGACGAGTCCTGGTTGAGCTGCACTAGAGAAGGCAACAAGTGTTATCACTATGTCGGAGACACGCTAGCTTTCCCAAGGCAGACGAACTTACAGTGGTTGCAATCATCCGGGTTTAAATCGCGCTCAAATTGATTTTTATTTTGATGCAATATTTACACTGAAGCTCGCAGGCAGCTATGGTAAGGGGCGTGATATTTCCCGACCAGGCGCTGACGAGTGGTGCCAATCAAAACACACACTGGCCCAGCTAACCAATCACAGCACATTTCGTATTTCAGGCGGGCCTTCATTTGATACAGGAACTATTCGAGCCATTCATGCCAGACTGGGGAGAGAGGTGTTGTAATAATGTAAGATATGTGAAAAATAATGTGTTTTTCGAACAACCTAGTATGAGAGCCTGTTCTAGTACACCCCCAAAACAAAATCAAGACTTTGAAAAAGAACATAATAGGACCCCTTTAAAAAAATTGCTCAATAATTCAGGAACAAAACAAGTGAGACACTTAATATTCTAATAGGTATTAATGAAAATGTAAAGCTTAACATTTTATATGCATATAAACCTGGTCACTTTTAATTGCATGTTTTCTTAGTAAATGTGATTGACTTTTTGTATGTGTGTTACAGGGTGCCACCATAAAGAAGGATGAACACACTGGAGCAATCATAGTGGCGCGCATCATGAGGGGTGGGGCAGCAGACAGAAGTGGTGAGCGCTGATGCACCTTTTCTCTCTATACACAAATGCACTCTAACAGCACCCAGATGTTTAGTTTGTTTACACAAAGCCTGAGATGGTTTATTACACTGAATAAACTGCTAAAGTGCTGTATGTGGTCTCTTAACTTTTCCTTTTTGTCCACTCCTCTTTGTTGTGTCCAGGGCTGATACATGTCGGAGATGAGCTGAAAGAGGTCAACGGTATCCCTGTAGATGACAAAAAACCTGAGGAAATTATTTGCATCCTGGTATGTGCATGTGTCTGTGGAAAGTCAACATGAAACAGCATGTTTAACTTTTGTAGTATAACAGAATGCTGTGAAAAGGGGATTTTATCCAAAGGGAAATGTTTGGACGGTTACTGTATGAAACATTATAGGCTGTTAAGTTAATATTGAAGTTGGTTAATATATCCCCCTGGCTATTTTAGCAGAAATAAAATGTAAAAAAAAAAGTTTTCGAACTAGTGGAAGTTAATCTTTCATAATATAGTATTATCTATACGTAATATAGAATTAAATGAATAATGTTCACTGGTGCATTAATTTTGTCTTTTTATATGCTTAAAAGGTTGTTGATACAGTGGGTACGGAAAGTATTCAGACCCCCTTAAATTTTTCACTCTTTGTTATAGTTGTCTTTTTTTTTACTCTGTTTATAGTCCCAGTCGCAAGGTGCCATCACTTTCAAAGTAGTCCCAGGCATCAAAGAGGACGCACAAAGCAAAGAGCCCAAGGTACAATTAATTCTCACTATTGCCGATCAGACATGAACAGTTTAGGAGAAAGAGTTGCCCTATATGGGATGTTCTATTCAGACAGTGGGGGAGCTTTCCCCTGTACGAGTACCACGGGCTGCTGGTTTGATGGATAAGCTTTTGTTCCCATTCATCTTCAACACAAATGATTTGCACTAAACCTCTCAGCTCCCTGTCCAGCTTACAAACATTCTCTGTCAATCTGTTCCTAAACCAAGTGAGCTGTCTCACAGCCTGCTGTCTACATGAAACCTCAATTATGACTGATTTGAAATGCTGTACACAGCAACACTCACTCGCATTGCACAAATAGCACTCTTCACATGAAGCCTGCAAGAAACTCGAGTCAGAACTATTAACTCCTGATTAAGTCCAATAGTATTAAGAACATGTTGCTAAGCTAAAGATATGATGCAATTAAAGACAAAACATAGATCGCATGCACAATATTACATAATTTCCACCAAAACGTTTTAATTTTATCTACAGTATACTTTTTAGCAAAGTTATGTGATGCTTTCTGAGATTGCTTTATCCTTGAAGAATAAAAGAAATGCTGACTGAAATTTTATTCAAAACAACATAGATGTAAATTAACATAATTGTGCCTAAAAATGTAAAACCAAAAGTGCACAATAAATAAAGTTATTGTCTCCCAAAAGAAAGAATTGACTCTGAACAGCCTAAATGAGTCGTCAGTAATTCGAATCCCACTTCACATTTGCACATTTGGTAACATATTTGCATAATTCCTGCCTATGTTCTACGTTGGCTGGCCGCAAACAACTTGACCCCCGCCCTCAAACACTGTGGTTTGTTTGCAATGGGCGCATCATTTCCAACACACGCTGTACGCGGTAGACCAATCACAACAGACTGGGCCATCTGACCAATTAGAGCAGAGCAGGCTCACAGAAAGGAGAGGTTTAGAGAGACTGAATTTTAGAACTTCTTCGAATTAATCGTTTGAGAATCGTTGGAAAATGATTTGATATTATAGGCATATTTTGAGAAAAGGAAAGAGATTTTGACCATGCATGCATGTAAGCCTATTGAAGGAGACTCCTAAAACAATATTAGGAACCTTATAAATGGCATAATTGGGGCACTTTAATATTTTTGGAATACCATTATACGTTTTTTTCTTTGAATAGAAAGCTCAAAAGAATAGCATGCATTTTTAATACAGAGAAACCTTTTTTTAACATTATAAATGTCTTAACTGTCAATTTTTATATATATTTTTAATGTGTCTTTGCTAAGTGAATACATTTCTTTAAAAACAAAAATCTTGACCACAATCTTTTGAGTATTGTGTTATAAGTGAGGACTGTACCATTTCTTTGCAGGTCTGTTCTATTCCTTTTGCTGTGCTGTAATGGTTTAAATATGTTTCAGTTTTGAATTCAGTCTGCAGTACACCCGCATGTGTGTGTTATCCAATGACCATAGTTTACTGTTTTCCGCATGTGTAATGAATATGTTGAAGTGCTGCTAATTGGCTGCACATGGGTAAGAGGGAAAAAAAAATATGGAGTGCGTGACCGAGATGAAGTATTCCCTCAGGATGTATTGGTGTGTTTGTGGGGAACGTTCTCCTCTGTAACATCATTTTTCTGTATGGCACAGGCAGCTTTCTAAATCAACACAAGCTACTGCTCTGCGCTTTGGGAACTTTGCTGTCTCCGTTTGCTCTCAATAACCACCTTATTTGTCTTTTTGGCTTATTTGATATGTCTGCGCAATCATTTAAAACCTTTGTTAGAGAAACGCTAATGACAATCACACAGAATTTCCAATTGTTGCATTGTAGTGCGTATGTGTGGAAAGTAAGCCTGTCTGCTACCCAAAATACACCTTTATTTGGTCATGGTTTAGTGAGAGGGATGGAGCAGATGTGATTTGAATTTCATCCTTCTCTAATTTCATTTTAATCCATTTAATGTTGTTCATTTTAAAGCTGTTTCTCTCTCTCTTGCTCTTCAGATGTTTGTAAAGGCGCTTTTTGACTACAGTCCAGCTGAGGATAAGGCGATCCCTTGCAAGGAGGCAGGTTTGGCATTCAGAAAGGGAGATATCCTGCAGGTTATGAGCCAGGACGATGCCACCTGGTGGCAGGCCAAACTGGAGGGTGATGGCAACCCGCGCGCAGGACTCATCCCATCCAAACATTTTCAGGAGAGGTTAGCCAATGCTTTTCTCTCTTCCCTGCTCCTTTCCTCCCACTATCACCAGTTTTAAATTCAACAGTACTCCATGACTCAATCATCCTGTCCGCCCTCTGTCCAGCCCCCTCATATATCATATTTTCCTGTCATGCATGCATCTCTCTGTCTCTCGATCATTCCAGACTTCTTCCACTCCATTACAACCTGACTTTCACTCCCTACTATGAAAGGAATGACTTTTCTGAGTTTTTTGTCTTCCTTGTCATTTTTTTTCCCTTTTTGTGCAAGAGGGCTCGGCCAAAATACTTTGGATTTCCGTGGCTGTCTGGGCTGGAATGAGTAATGACAGACAATGATAGCACTGGTTCACATCCACTTTGGACGTCCACACTCGGAAAATTGCACATCAGTGGCGTTCTTCGTAAAGTGGACTCTGACGTGCATGCACATGTGTGCTGCCTTAGGAAATAGTTTCTTTGCTTTGTTTCTCTTGAAAAAAGTAACTTTCAATTGTAAAACATATTTTTGAACCTGTCAAATGTACAGTAGCAAGTGCTGTTTCTGGCTGACCATTCTTTCTCTCGCTCACACACATACTCACTCACTCACTAATGGATACTTAGGCAGGTAGCTCTGCGTTGTAGTTAAGTGTTTAGTAATCCCCATACGGTCGTAAAATCTGATGGTTTTATTGCATGTCTCTGTGGCTGTGCTCACAGAAGCAGAATAGGCTTGTCAGTCTGGTTTAGAGTGTTAAATTTCTAATTATTAAATTACTTTTACACATTTTGGTTATAAACAAAAGTGACAAATGTATTAGATGGCCAGACTGACACACTTATATTTTCAGCACACATTGCCGTCGGTTGATTCAGATTTGTTGGATGAAATTGCTTCTCACTCGTATCAGTTAGTAAATACATTTGTCAATCCCAAACACTGACTTTGTGAATGTAAACTATTTATTTGCCTATCTAGCTCCTTATCTTTCTCCCTCACTTTTTTCAGGAGGTTTGCAGTCTGGAGACCCATGACCATCACAACTCTTCAGAGAACCCCCAGCAAAAGATTTTGTAAGGACCACACTCATGCAATCATGCAGCAACTAACCACTGAAATGCACACATACACAGCAGGGCTCAACAATAATTATTTTTTTCCTGCTAGTCCAGTCAGGCTATTAGTTGTGGCCTTACTATGAAATAATTATTTATTTTTATTATTAACCGTGTTTTTTTTTATTATTATTTATATTTAATATTTTTTATATTTCTTATTTCTTAATATTTCTTATTTAAATATAAGTTTTTATTTTCATTCACAAAAGTGAATTTTTTACAAAAAAAATTTACAAGCTGTAGCTTAGCTGTAGATATAATGTAACATTCATAAACATTTTGCTGGAAAATGATAGCATATTATGCAAAACATTACTGATCGGTTGGTTTTCAGCATTTTTACTGGTACTTTCAAGACTGTCACAAATCTTTTTATTTTTTTATTTTGACAAAATCTCACCCATGTTGGCAGCTAGATAACAACATTTTTTTGGTGACAGATTATCATAATGCAAAAATGGTGTTGATTTATTTACAGAGATACAGAAACAGTGGTTCTCAACCAGAGGTCCGGGGCCCACCAGGGGGCTTCAGCAAACTTTCAGAGAGACTGAAGGATGACTAAAAAGCATTTAAATTAATAATTTTTTTTTAGTATTTAAAACAAAAAAAATAAGTTTAATGTAAATGTAAAAAAAAACTACAACTATGTAAGCATTTATTTTTCCCTCCCTCAATTACTATTGTTCTTATTGAAGAACATGCAGTTCTTAAAATGTCTGTAAGCACAAAGTGAATCATGATTAATTCATTTGATATATCAGTACTCTCGGTTTCTGTTCATTAAAAAGTTGAAAATTGGCAGCTTTGTCATAATTCCGGTAGAAATCCCGTAAATTTCATAGCCTTTTTGGGTGGAGGGGGGGTCTTTGAATGTTATGTTGGGCAGCGTGGGGCTGCTGGTGTAAACATTTTTGTTCAAGGTCACTGAATGTAAACATTTTCAGTGGTAATGAAAAAAAACCTTCTCGCTGACCTCAGGCCAGCAAACTACCTTATTGTTGAGCCCTGTACATACTCATTTTGTACCTGGAATACAGCAGAAATTATTTTTAAACTGTTGTACGCAAGAGGCCCGTGTATTGCAGATGCTGTGACGTTACTATTTGAGTAGAGCAATGGCTAGAAAAAAAGATGAAGAAGAATAGAAGGAGCAGCAACCGGAAAAGATTAGATGAGAGCTGCTTAAAACAATGAGAAGGAAAAGGGGACCCAAGGGTCGTGAAACTGACGTCGTCTTTGCAGACTCTTTACATTTCACATAACAAATAAGCATAAGTAAAATTAAAGTGCTGCTTTTATTCAGCTTTTCAAGTGTAGAATTTTTCAGAATCGCGTCACATATGGTATTTTGTCAGAAAAACTTAAAGCTCCGTGTATGACTTGACCAGAAACAGACCAGATACAGTACCAACCCAAATGTGTTCCCACACAGGTATAGATGCTTATATGTGTGTTTGGAAGAAAGAAAGTTGTTTGTTTGAACTGCATGAGCGTGTGCTTTAAGAGTAAGACCATCTGTCTACAGGCCTGCAGTGAAATTGAGGTGAGGGGCTTTCTTTGGATGACTGAACACACGCTAGTGCTTTGCACCGCAGATATGTGCACTCAAAGCCTTACTTATCAGAACGGCATGATTAGCTGTGGCTAGCTAGCTAGCTGAGGCTGTATGTCATATCCATTACAAACTGCACACCCCTGGACAGGTACAGAAAGTAAAACTTTCAGGGTTTCCAGTCATAGAAAATGTTAAAATCATTTACAAATCATGGTTTTCAAGCATGGAAATTAATCTTAAAAATCATGGATTTTTCCAAAACGTTGACTTTCACAGTTGTTCATAGTTCAAAAATATTTCATTGGCAAAAGTATTTTTTTAGAGATTAAATCAATTAATTTAAGTCATTATCCAGTAGATGCTAATAAATGATTTTAAAAAAGGGGTTAAAAGGGCTGGGAACACAGTAATTTATACTGTAGTTGAATTGTGTACATATGTGTTGGTCTGGTGTAGGTTAATGTTAAGGGATGGTAACTAGAAGGTTGCTGGTTCAGTCCTCACAAGGAACGAGCACCATCATTCCCCTAAACTTAAAGGTACTTAAAGTTGGCTTGAAATGTAAATTCCCTCTTCTTGTTGCTTAAATTAATCTTTATGATCTTATTGTGAACAATTCATCAATGTATAGGTTTCTTTTTTTTCTTCTTAATCAAAATGTAACAAGTCAGTTTTCCAGTGAGACAGACTTTGTTATAATAGACTGCAAGCTTGCGTTCCGATCTGCATCCATCCAGTCAACAACTGATAGAACCAAATCTATATATTTTTTTCTTGCTTGATAATCCCTTTTACACAGAAGTGTCAAATCTGCAATCTTCCAGTTACCATCCCTGAAAATTATTAATGTTTTCTATAGACTAGTCAGTTAATGTCTGTTTATATTGTTTACAAGTGGATTCCTCTTAATACATCTTGTCTCATCGTCATCTCTTACAATTAACTTTTCTTTCTTCATCTTGCGTCTTCATGAGGAAAAAAAGTATCTTCTGGTTACACTAGCTGAATTTACATGCAACCTAATATCAGTTAACCTTAATGTCTTGAGGACCACTAATCACAGGCTTCTTGTTGTTATTGTAGTGTTGACATTGCACGTGGAACCATTTTTTTGGAATATATGTAATGCCTATTTTAACTGATATATTTACATTGAATAGGGTGCATATAAACAGTACATTTGGAATCTACAGTGGGATTGATGTAAATCTGTGTATGTAAACATAGTGAGTCGGTAGCTCTATCCTGCCTGTTCACATGCTTTAATTCGTGCCCTTTGTTTGACCAGATATACTTTCATACTTTCAGATATACGTTCTGTCATCATTGTAGATATGGAAACAACTTGCACCCCTTTAATGTACACTCACCATCCCCACTTATTTGAATTAATCATCTGTTCTAGATTCATTTATAAATTGTTGTAGGCAAAAGGCATCTAATAATCAATCTTGTTTCCATATTTGCGCTGTCCAATTTATATCTGTGGTTGGGATTTTTTTTTGTTTTTTTGGTACTCTGTGACCAATTACCTTTTTGTTTTTTGTTTTTCTTTATGAATCTTGGGACACGTTTTACTGTTCTTTATGATTTAAAGTTATTTTCTGTTTCAGTTTCTCTGAAAAACACTGGCAGTAATTATGACAGACATGACGGTTATCCATTTTCACCTGTAAATCATACCCATTTACTTAGCATATTTTTCCTTATCCTAAGCTTAGTGGCCTCGCTTCTTGTCCCAGACCTTAAAGGGGTCATATGATGCGATTTTACATTTTTCCTTTCTCTTTGGAGTGTTACAAGCTCTTGGTGCATAAAGAAGATATGTAAAGTTGCAAAGACTAAAGTCCCAAATCCAAAGAGATATTCTTTATAAAAGTTCAGAGTCAGCCACACCTACCTAAAACGGCTCGTTCTAAGACGCCCCCACATATCTACCTCACTATGTGGGAAGATTTGCATAACGGCGCCCAAATGTTCACGCAAAGAAAGAAGGCGTAACTTTTATTCTCACTGTAGTATTGTTGACGCTGCAGCCATGTCGTGAAGACGCTGTGTGCTTCGTTGTGAAAGCGAAACTACTTTGTTTGGTCTTCCAAAAGAAGACGATATCCGCTTCATCATGCCTAGAGCTGATCTGTGCTGGTCGCTGAGGGAATACATCAATTTTCACAGTGGAAGAAGCGGAGTTCAGCCCAGGGTCGTCACATGTGGTTGCCGCTCATTCGTCGGATCCTCAGCTCACGCTAAGCCGGGGCTTCCGCTCACGCCCTTATATCTTCTTATAATTTTTTTCTTTTTTAATTAATTTTGTTTTTTTGTTCTTTGGGTCACACCGACAAGAAGGCAGATGCTTAAGGATTCACTTGACTGATAGCACACAAAAGATTTTACTGCCCTCCATCCTCCTCTTCATGGTATTGCTTTTTTGGCAGGACTGTGGGAATGTGTATGGCAGGCCATGTAGATGCTGCCCTTTGCTCGTGTGTGTGTTTTGATTTAAGCTTGTTTAGTAGAATTGAGACCACATGAACTGGAGGAAGCTTTTAAAGTGACTCCAAATGTTCTCATGTCTTCAGGCCTGCACATGCACACAAAAGCACACTTTCTCTGCTGTTATGAACTATGTTAATTGTTCGGTAGTTACAGTTACCTATGAGGTAAGCAATGGTTTACCACTTAGCAGCATACTAAAGACTTTTCATAGAAAACAAACATGGAATTTTACATTAGTTTGACACTTAAAGGGATAGTTCTCCCAAAATTGAAAACTGTGATCATTTCCTCATCCTCATGATGTTCCAAACCTGCATGACTCACTTTTTTGTGTGAAAAATAATACTTTTTGTAGAACATTGGGGTTAAAACCTCATTGGACCCCACTGTCTTTCATTAAAACGGTAGACAAAGTAAAACAGGTTTGGAAAGACATTTTTGGTTGAACTGTCCCTATCAATTTTAAAGTGTATTTCAAACATCATGTTTGTAATGTGTACTTCCAGTCACATGACTGTATCTTTCCTTTTTATTTTTTCCTTCATAAGATGATGAGACAGGTCAGTTTCTTCTTCCTCCATTCTTTTGCTCTCCTCATCCCTCTTGATCTGTTTTTAATCTTTTTATGTTTATTATATTCCTTTCTTTGCTTTCCCAGTGGAGGACATTGAAGGTACACCTTTCAGACTAACTCTGATTCACCTATTAGATGTCATAGCCATTAGATCATTGGCTGGGGACCCCTGTATGTGGTAACAGAGTACCAAACAATGAAGATACGGTTTATTAGCATTCATTGGACCACATCTACCTAATGGAGCATAGCATGTGTAAAGGGGCCAAGAGTTCACTATACTGTATCTCTTTAATACACAAAGACACACAGGCACACAATACATCACTTGTTTGCCTTTCTAACTACGCCTTACACTTTAAATGATATTTGTATGATGAGTGCTCAGATGAATCCCATCCATTTTAGTCTTTCTTTATGATAGACCGTGTGAATGTGAGTTTGAACATGAATGTTTCCCCCAGTATTTCATAGTCTTATTGTTGTGTAAGATGCAAAAGATACTTTGAATATGTTTTTTTTTTTTATCCTAAAAGACATGTACAGTGGGGAAAAAAAGTATATACTTTGTGTTGTGTCTAATAGACAAAAGAAATCTGAAGTTTATGGCCCACATGGAAAGTTGTGAATGCTGAATGAGAACGCTGCCAGTAGATCTGTCCCCCTGGCTTAGCTGTAGAGGATCAGTTGATGAAGAAATATGATAGTTGTGTTTGAATGTAAAATACACAACTGTTCAAAAGTTTGGGTTCGGTTATGTTTTTGAAAAAAGTGTCTTATGCTCACCAAAGCTGCATTTGTTTGATCAAAGATTAATTAATTAAAATGAATTACAATTTAAAATAACTTTTTTTTTTATCTGAAGGTATTTTAAAATGTCATTTATTCCTGTGATGACAAAGCTGAATTTTCAGCAGCCATTATTCCAGTCTTCAGTGTCACATGATAGTTCAGAAATAATTCTGAAATGCTGATTTCTAACATTTCTGGTTACATATTTGTACCTAAAGGCTGCACATTAGTACCTTAATGGTACATGTTAGTACATTTTGAAAGGGTACCACCCCAGTGACAGATTTTGTACCTTTTTTTTCTGAGAGTGCATGGTGCATTTTTCCCAGGATTCTTTGATGAATAGAAAGTTTGAAAGAACTGTATTTATCTAAAATAGGATTTTTGTTTAACAGTGATTGAAAGTGACATTAAAGACTTTTACAATGTAAAGCATCCTTGCTGAATAAAGTATTCATTTATTTTTTTTTTTAAATTCTTACTGACTCCAAACCTTTGAAACGGTACTGTGATCGCTGTCATTTTTATTTGCATGCCTATAAGCTGAATTGACAATCTTTTTTGTTCATCTTTCAGTCTGTAGTAGTGTTCCTAACTTCTCTCTAATATAAATCTGTCCTGATTCCTTCTGCCTTTCATAATTTGAAGAGGACACTGAGTTTGCCTCCTATTTAAGTGGACTCCATATTGGTGAGCTTTTTTTGATTATGCTTGATTATGTGTTTGTCCTCTGTCCCATATCATTCCTCACTTCTGTCTGATTCATATTATTGATGAATCCCGTTATTATTGAGTGTGTTGATTATTGAGCTTATCCCGTTCTGAGTCATTTTCTCATAACAGTTTCATGGGCTGTTAGCTCTCAATCTCCTCCCTCTCTCCTTCTCTGTGTCTGCAGACAAGAATCTTTTTTGACATGTGACTGCACACTGTTGCATGTCCTATAGTATCATTGCCTAGCTTCCTTCTGGCTTTACATATCTCTTCATTTATAAGTGGTAGCAGTCTGCGTTTTCAGTCTTTTTTTACTGCAGTAGTTGTCACAGTCATTACCATGTGCTTTGTACGTTTTATCTAAGATTGACTTTGTTATTGTTAGGAGTGATTCCTGAGTGTTGTTCAGTCTAACTGAAATATCTGATATCAGTGATACTGTATATAAGTAATAGTTTTTTTTGTTGTTGTCCCAGTCCTGTAGTAAAAAAAAAAAGTGCACTCGTTTCTCAAACAGAGGTCCCGAGCAGCTGAACTTTCTGATTTTTCTGTGTGTTGGCAGTGTTTTTAGTTTAAATAGCTCTTTGTGAATGTTAAACATATTGCAGTTAAAGGCACTGGTTCATTTCCAGGCTTTCTGGTGGAGGTCCGGCGGACTCTTGATGTGGTGTGTGTGTTGGACATTGGGCTGTTTGAAGGCCAGCACTCAGTCAGGCCTTAGTCTGGTTTCCATCTCTAGCATCAGTCTGTGGAAAATGAGTGTGGCGTAGCGTTCTCATTATCTGTCACCACACACACTCATGTACTCTGTATGCCCGTCTGGGGCAGCTCTGTTCAGTGGCCACAGAAAGTAGTGTTTCCGTGGATCCTTAAGTATTAAATATCTCAAATAGTACAAAAATCATTTATCATTTGCTTCGGTTTCAGTTCACGGCAATTTCCCCTCAGTGTTCTGTAATCACTCCATTCTATTTCCACTCCAGGTTTTCCCAATTTCACCAATTGTTTTTATTTTTTTATTCCTCCATTTCAATGAATCTGTCAGTATAATGTGAAGGTAAATGTTGTTTATTTGTATAGATGCTTTGTTGTTCAAAAGTTAGGGGTAAGATTTTTTTTTTCAATGTCTTTCAAAGAAGTATCTTATGCTCACCAAGGCTGCATTTATTTGGACAAAAATACAGTAATATTGTGAAATATTATGGCAATTTAAAATTACAGTTGTCTATTTTAATATATTGTAAAGTGTCATTTATTCCTGTTCAAAGCTGAATTTTCAGCAACCATTACTTCAGTCTGCAGTGTTATGTTTCATTTCATTTCATTTAGTCATTTTGCAGACGCTTTTATCCAAAGCGACTTACAATTGGGGAATACATAAAGCGATTCTTCTTAAAGAGGCAAACAGACACAGGAAATGCTTGTAATACCAAGTTTTAGGCATTGTTCAAATAAGTACAAGCTAGAAAGGGAAGGAATAAATGGAGAATTTTTTTATTATTATTATTTTTTTATTTAGGATGAAGTCAAGTAGCGTCGAAAGAGATGAGTTTTCAGCTGTCGCTTGAAAATTGTCAGGGATTCAGCATTCCGGATAGGGGTGGGAAGATCATTCGACCAGCCAGGAATGGTGAACAAGAATGTTCTGAAAAGTTATGTATATGGAGAAGAGGGGGGGTCCAGGAACTGATCCCTGAGGAACCCCAGTGACCAGTTGATGTGCTTTGGATACCGCCCCTCCCCAGGCCACACTGAAAGACCTACCAGTGAGATAGGATTCAAACCAGCAAAGTGGGATCCCTGTGATGCCCAGTGAAGAGAGGGCAGACAGGAGGATCTGATGATTGACAGCGTCAAAAGCAGCAGACAGATCAAGCAGAATAAGAACTGATGATTTGGAATCAGCTTTTGCAATCCGCAAGGCTTCCGTCACTGACAGTAGCACAGTCTCAGTTGAATGACCACTCCTGAAACCTGACTGGTTAGCGTCCAGTTTGTTTGTTCTGTGAAAGAAACAATGATACCTGGTTGAAAACAACTCGTTCGAGGGTTTTCGCTATGAATGGAAGGAGAGAGACAGGTCTGTGGCCATCTGTAAGTGAGTTGTTTAATGTAGGTTTTTTGAGCAGTGGGTTACCCGAGCCTGCTTGAATAAAGTGGCAAAAGTGCCTGTAAGGAGAGATGTGTTGATATGTGTGAGTGCTGGTAAGAGTGTAGGAGAGATTGCTTGGAGAAGGTGTGAGGGGATTGGGTCAAGAGGGCATGTTGTATGATGGCTGAAGAGGAGACGTTTTGATACTTCTGCCTCAGTGAAGGGATGAAGGGAGAAGATGGGAGTTTTAGCAGTGGGTGTGGTTGGTTTGAATTCCTGTGTGTGTGTGTGTGTGTGTGTGTGTGTGTGTGTGTGTGTGTGTGTGTGGGACTGAGAATTGACTACTGATTGTTCTAGTGTTCTAGGTGAAGAATGTGGCGAAATCATAATTTGTTATAGAAGTAGTGGGAGGTGGTGGAGGGGGACAGAGGAAAGAATTTAATGTTTTGAAGAGATTACGTGTGTCTGGAGCGTTGTTGATCCTGTTGTGGAAATATGAAGATTTTGCAGCATGGACTTCAGCAGAGAAAGATGAAAGCAAAGACTGATACATTCTCAGGTCTGACGGATCTTTTGATTTGCGCCATTTTCTCTCTGCTGTCCTGAGTTTGGTACGATCCTCACGAAGAACATCGGATAACCAGAACCAGAACATCGGTTATGTGCTCCTCATTTTTGTTATTCATTTTAAAACGGTTGGACTGCTTTAATGTGTTTGTGGAAAGTGTTGTATTTTTTTCAAGATTCTTTGATAATACAAAGTTCAAAATAACAGCATTCGTTTGAAATAGACATTTATATTGTTAGAAAAAAATTATTTTAATCAATTTAATGCAACCTTGCTGTTTAACAGTATTAAAGTCATACTCACCCCAAACTTTTGAACAGAACTGTATATTGTATATATGTACAGTATGTTAACTGTACATGTATATTATTTAGTTTTTGTCTATTCTAATATATTTATAATGTTTTACAGCTTGTACAGTATGTTCCACTCCTGTTCTTCTGGGTTTCTTGTTTGCTACTAACTTTTTTTCCTCTGTCAATCGCCCAAATTGATTTCCTCCTTTGTCCATTGCTTGTTTTGTTTTTTTGTCTCTCTCTTGTGTGTGTCTCTCTGTCTCTCTCTCTCTCTCTCTCTCTCTCTCTCTCTCTCTCTCTCTCTCTCTCTCTCTCT